CTCCTCGTGATCTGATCATGCGAAAATCTGCCATCGTTTGGCAAAGTAATTATTTCAAGCCAAAAAAGTTCAATGACAGATATGACCTGGAGTATGCTCGGAACATATCCACACTTGAGCTAAAGAATAGAAGGGCAGCTGAGAATTATTGTCACCTATGTCCCCCCAGTAGAAAATGAGTCTCTCTCTCTCTCTGTCTCTCTCTGTTTTCATGTGGGTCATCATTGACCCATTTACAATTTATGGCCGCCGCGTCCCACTAACGTCAGCCAATCAATAAACAATCCCTTTCGCCGAAAACAGATCCTTTTCTTGTCCATCCGAAGGCACTACAAAAAAACATGAATTTTGCCACGGAAATTTACGACGGGAAATTTGTCGTCGCAAATTTGCAACGAACTTTGCGACGGATTTTATTTTCCGTCGCAAATTAGCGACGATTAATTTCGTCGCTAATTTGCGACGGAATTTGCCACGAAATAAAAATTCGCCGCAAATTTGTGACGGAAAATAAATTCGTCGCAAATTAGTGACGGAATTAGCGACGGATTTATTTTCCGTCGCAAATTTGCAACAGAATTAGCGACGGATTTATTTTCTGTCGCAAATTTGCGACGAATTTAATTCGTCGCTAATTTGTAGTTTAAGACGGAATTTTTCTCCGTGATATCCACCCCACCCGTCAATTTCTCTCTCTCTGTACTGATTCCTCATATCCCCCTTGCTTTTGTCCCTCTTTCGTATCTCTCAATAAACCTATCCGTGCGCGCACAAATCAATCTCGGTAAAGCTTTTCTGCCGGTAAGTATCATAGCTAACTTTATGACTAATTGGCGACGAATACGGTTCGTCGCAAAACTATTCATCGCTGGATTCGAATTTTTTTATTTTATTGACTTTTTTTTTGGTTTTATTTCGTTACTTCTTCGCGGGTCGCCGGACCGGCGACCGGCGAGACCACGTTGGCCATGGGGGGAGGCCGAGCGGCCTCGGTGGCCATGGGGCAAGGCCGCTCGGCCTCCCCTCATGGCCGTCGACCTGATCTGGGGGAGGCCGACCGGCCTCGCCCCAAGGCCGCCGGTCGAGCTCGCCGTCTCCCATATCTGGGCGACGGCAAGGTCAACCGGCGGCCACGGCGAGGCCGATCGGCCACGGCGAGGCCGGTCGGCCACGGCGAGGCCGATCGGCCACGGCGAGGCCGGTCGGCCACGGTGAGGCCAACCGGCCTCGTCCCATGGCCGGCGAGGCCGGTAGGCCTCCCCCCATGGCCGTCGACCTCGCCATCGCCCAAATCTGGAAGACGGCGAGGTCGACCACCACACCTGGGCGAGGTCGAACTTGCCGGCCTCAGCCGGTCGCCGGACCGGCGACCGGAGAAAAATATAGGGGAAAAAAAATTAAAAAGAAATTCGAAAAAAATTAAAAATTATAAAAAAATGAATCTTAAGTGATTTTTTTTTTTAGGTACGTGTCCATTTGAAGGTCTCGCAATCCAAGTGAAGGTTGCAATTCTCATCAAATTGACCACTTTCTACTACAAAGATTTCAGTCAAATATTTGGTTAAGTCTTCTTGACATGGTAATTTTTTCATTTTTTTTCAAGTTCAAAGTAATTGTTGCGTCAAAAACAAAATTTTAATTTTCATAATTTTATGGTTTTAATTAAGAACAGTAGATATGATATTTTTAATATTTTACGAGATTTTTTTATTTTTATACAGACACAATGCAAAGAGACAGGGCTTGGATGTATAATAAGAACTTACCTGGACGTCGAGGATTGACCGATAAGTTTCGTACTGGGTTGGAACTATTTTTAGACTTTGCTAGTAGTAAATATGAGTTCATGGATGGAAATAAGTTAATGTGTCCATGTAAAAAGTGCAGTAATGGTAAATTTCATGTGTGTGATAAAGTTAGAGAACATCTTTGTAGATTTGGGTTTACTCCGAACTATTATAATTGGACTTCCCATGGTGAACCATTTATATCTGATGAAGGATATCGAAGAAGTGACCAATTTTTAGTTAGGGAAGAATATAGCTATTATGACCAATTGAACCCATGCGAGAGGATGGTGATTGATGCAGCTGGTCAGAATTTTGTTTTAGAATCGAATCATGCAAGTACTAGTTTTACTCCTACACTTGGACAAGTGGGTACTAGTCATGCATCACAATTGGAAGAGATAGGAGTAACGGATTTTGATGAGAATGTGTGTAATTGAACTTTTCCATCTAATCAGTCCTGGGAAGTGTTGAAAGCAGCAGATGAACCTTTATGGGCAGGTTGTGACAACCACACTAAGTTATCAGTGACAGCAAGACTGTTAAATAGCAAGGCAGAGCATAATGTGTCTGTAAATTGCTTCAACTCTTTTGTTGAAGTAATGCGGGAAACAATGCCTCGTGATAACATCATGCCAAGTGATTTTTATGATATGAAAAAGCTAGTGGATAACTTAGGTCTTCCGGTTGTAAGGATTGATATATGTAGTAGGGGTTGTATGTTATATTGGAGAGATGATGAAAATGCAGAATCTTGCAAATTCTGTAGCCAACCTAGGTACAAGATTAACAGGAGGCAGGGTCGTAATCAGAAGCGTAGATCATGCAAGCAAATGTTTTATCTGCCCTTAATCCCCAGATTGCAAAGGCTTTATGCGTCTCAAGCCACTGCTGAACACATGACTCGGCATGCAAATCATGAAACAGAAAAGGATCTAATGTGTCATCCTTCAGATGCAGAGGCATGGAAACATTTTGATAGAACATACCCTGAGTTTGCGATAGAGCCTCGAAACATCATGTTAGGTCTCTGTGCTAGTGGATTTGCCCCATTTGGGAAATCAGGAAAAAGTTATTCATGTTGGCCAGTTATCTTAACGCCGTACAATCTTCCACCTGATATATGCATGAAGATACCTTATATGTTTTTGACATTGATTGTGACTGGCCCGCAAAATCCGAAAATGTTAATAGATGTTTATATGCAACCATTGATTGAAGAGTTACAACGGCTATGGGATGAAGGTGTCCTTACATATGATGTTTCTACCGATCAAACATTTGTAATGAAGGCTGCTCTTCTTTGGACGATAAATGACTTTCCAGCTTACGGAATGTTATCTGGATGGAGTACAGCTGGGATCTTAGGATGTCCGATATGTTTGGAGAGATCAAAGTCATTTAGATTAAAACATGGAAAGAAGCCCCAGCTATTTTGACTGTCACAGGCAATTTTTACCGATAAATCATACATTCAAAAGGAATAAAAAAGAGTTCATCAAGAATAGGACTGAAAGAACACATCCACCATTGAGGTTGACCAGCGATCAAATTTGGGAGCGGGTGCAGAACTTTCCAACTGTTGTTCAGAACCCTCACGGCACGACTATTGCGTACGGAAGTACACATAAGTGGACTAAATGCAGTATATTTTGGGATCTACCATATTGGAAGGCCCATCTTATTTATCATAATCTTGACGTCATGCACATAGAAAAGAATGTTTTCGACAATGTCATAAATACTGTGATGGATGTCACCGGAAAAACAAAAGACAACTTGAACGCAAGAAAATGTGACATCCTGAAAAAAATTAGTCCATTTGGGATTTATGAAATACTGGATTTTATGAATGTACTCGTAGTCAGTTCTCGCCCGGAACTGATCATTCCTGGGAATGCTAACCATTAGGGAAAGGCTAATAGGGGAAATTAAATTCGCGCGACTAAAAGAAATTCGATCGTGAATGGATTTTGACTATTAAATCGCGGAAGTGATATTTTGAGCCATTGTTGGCCGATCCAAGGATAGTTAGGGATCGGTTCGCCACTATCATAGTAGTGGATCGCGGGTGATTCCGCTGGACCACGAAACAACTTGACAAATAATCCTGAACCGATACCGAACGATCGTACCCCTCGGATCAAGTGATTGATCTTCGTGATTTTAATGACAACCGAGGTCGTCACGTACCGAACGAACTTGCACGTGACTCGATTCAGTATCAGTCATGAGTCGATTCAGCGAATTTCCCCAGCAAGCCGCCCGTTAGCTCGAGAAACGCTCGAGTTGCGTTTAATAGAATTTAATTATTGAATTTTTGCCCAAATTGGACACCGGAAAATTAGGAAGTCACGCCGGAACATTAGGACGACGTTGCACGTGACACGTGCGAATTTTTGGTGCGCTTAAATCCTTCGGAAAAACTCGATTTGGACAAGAAACGGAGAAAGTGACCAAAATACCCCTAGGATTTATTAAAGGACAAGCTTTAAGGGTAAAGGGCATTTTGGTAATTTTGCCCTCAAATTTTGATTGGACAATTTTATCCTTGGACTTTTTGAGAAATTACAAGATTTCCCTTGGATATTTTGGATGAGATTCGATCTGGGCCGTCGATTTTAGGATAAGATCGAATCTGGACCATCGGATCAAAAAGATTAGAAAAAGGGTATTTTGGTAAATTGCCACTTTGGTCCAAATTTGACTATTTAAGTCAAAATTTCTCTCTCTCCTCACTCATTCCCCTCCCCCACGGCAGCACACCCCCCCCCCCAAACCGTGAACTCTCTCTCTCTCTCTTTGGGCCGATCATCGTCCAAGTCGATCGTCGGACCGCCGCCGCGCCGTCGCCGCTTGCTTTAACCACCACCAAGCCGTGCCGCCGTTTGCCGTTCGCGCCGCGCTACGTTCTAGCCGCTTTAGTCTAGAACCAAGTAAGTTGTAATCTAAACCTCGCCTAGGACGTCGGGTATTTTTCGAACTCGTTTAGGTGCGGTTTAGGGGATTTAGAGGTAGGGGTGAGCACGGTTCTAGGGTAGAACCGAGAACCGAAGAACCGGACCCGGCGGGTCCAGTTCAGTTCCCGGTTCCAAGGTAATAGGTTCCGGTTCCCGGTTCCAAATTTTTAGGAATCGCCGGTTCCAGTTCCGGTTCCCGGTTCCGATTCCTAGGAACCGGAACCGGTTTACTTTACCCTCTAAAAACCCTAACTTTTGTTAGTTTCTTGTTTCTTCCCCTTATTTCTCCTCGCTCAGTCCTCCTCCAGTCTGCTCTCTCTCGCACTCCCCACACCCACGACTCCACGAGCTTGCCTCTCCTCTCTCCGTTTGGCGTCGCCTCGGCTTTTCCTCTGTCTTCATCAACCACACCCAGTAGAGGAGCTCCGCCGCGGCGGCGCCGGCCCCGAGGGCGGGCTACGGTGGCGCGCAGCGGCAGATTGGGGGCGGCGGCAACAAGAACAGGGGCAGCAGCAACGGGAATAGGAGGGTGGTCGACGACGATGACGATTCGGACGTCGAGATGCTGAGCATCTCGAGCGGGGACGAGGATTCTGCTAAGGATCGCGCGGGTTCGAGGGCTAGAGGTGGCGCGAGTGGTGGTTCGAGGCCCGGGAGGGACGACGACAGAGCGTGGGATGGCGAAGAACCTGATTGCTGGAGGCGCGTGGACGAAGACGAGGTGAGTTCGAGATGGTAAACCTGAGGAGAAAGGGAGAAGTTTCAGAGCATGACAAGAATGAGGGATGGAGGAGGGTCTTCCATGTCCGCTTCGGTTCCAGGGTATGTCCGAGTCAACGTCTCTCTCTCTCTTCGCAAAACCCTTGTTAGTTTTCATCACTGTTACGCACTTGCACAGTCTGAACTTCATGTGCTGCGTTAAGGGGAGAAGAAGAAGAGAGATTGATTGTTGAAGCTCGATCGAGGGAGAAAGAGAAATAGAAAGGATCGTCTTTGGGTGTGGAAATATTACCTTTTCTTGTTTTTTCGTTGACCCTTTTTCTTATCATTGTCGTTGTGATCGATAGAGAGTAGCGAGAACAAGAAAGATGGTGTTGGTTTTGGCATTGGGGGATCTGCACATACCGCACAAGGCGCCTGATCTGCCCGCCAAGTTCAAGTCCATGCTCGTCCCTGGCAAGATCCAGCACATCATCTGCAGCGGCAATTTATGCATCGAAGTGGGTCCCTTTATCCTTCTCTTGTTGTTGTTGTTGTTGATTGAATTCCCCGACTCATTTGCGATCGTGATCTTGTTTGGATTTCTTTTAGCAATTTCGCGTTGCTCGGTAGATGTTGTCTTTGTTTTCTTTTTCGTTTTTGGCTGCAGCTCCCATGAGGTGATGTAGCGATGGTATTTTTTGATTCATTTTTGTTTTCGTTTGATGTCATTTTAGTCTATGCCATCTAGCATATTGTGGGGATTTTTTGTTTTGGTAGGGGGGTTGGGGGTTACAAGCATTGTTCTGTTGGTGATTTTTCCTTTCCTTATTTTTGGCCTCACTTATGGGGCTTTCCTTGCGGCTCATGGATGCAGTTGAAAGTTTTGTTTGAATCACTAGATTGGTGTATTCTTGGCACTCTGCGGTTCAGCCTTTTTTTTGAGAGAGGAGGCTTTTAGATTGCTGACCTTAAGTGCCTCATTGTGCAATTACCGGTTGTCTCGCAAATTTCTTTAATTTGTGGAAATTGACAATGTTCTTCGTCACTTTTGCTATGAAGTTGCTGTGTCAAGATTTCTTGCTTGTGTTGCAAATGACAGTTCACTTACATGCGAGTTGCAAGTAGAGCTCTGTTAGGCATGCTATATGATAGGAATGTGTCTTATCTGTCATATCCTCCATTGTTTCCACTAAATTCTAATAAAATAACACTTTGGAAAGAATGGTCTTAGGTGCTGCCTGCAGTATGAAGGATTCTTGCGTTTATTTTCGTTTTGTTTAATTCAAAACGAAATTAAAAAAAGAACCTGTTGGAACCTGGAACCGACCCTGGAACCTATGACAGGGTAGGTTCCAGGTTCCACGTTTCGACGGGTAGGTTCCAGGTTCCTCTTTTTGAGGAACCTGTACCCGAGGGTAAGTTCCAGGTTCCAGGCGGAACCTACCCGGAACCTGGAACCGCTCACCCCTATTTAGAGGTTGATTAAGGCGTTGATAATGGTTATTGGTGGTTGATCATGGTTATTGGTGTCTGAGTATGGCTGTTAGTGGTTGTTACGGGTTGGATTAGACGTCGGGAAATGAGATTTGGCAGTTGGAATTCGGTAGAAATCGGTTCGGATTTGAATCCGTGAGGTTCGGGGTGAATCGCGGATTCGCGGTTACTGTACCCGCCTGGTTTGCTATTTTTGTAGAAAATTTTATGGGCCGAATTTGAGGAAGGTTTCTTCATGAAAGTTGTTCCCAACATCTTGAGGTATAACATAATTTAATTTGGTAATTTTTGGAGATCATTTGAAGCCATTCGGAAGTCTATATTTGGACCGAAATAAAACTGCCCGATTTACTGTTCACCCGACCTTCGGGTCTGTTCGAATTTTTATAAATTTTTCCAGGCCTATTTTCAAAATACTTCCTTCAAGAGAATTGTTGTAGACATTTGTGGATATAACATATAAAAATTTCAAGGCTTTTCAAGATGATTTGGGTACCGAATGAGTTGTATTTTGATGGCCTGAGGGACTGTTCGAGCGAATCGGATTTTGTCTGACTTCAAGTGACCAAAAGAGGTGTTTCTAGTTGGAACTGAGTTTCGAGTTTTTCACAAAAAATGTTCAACAAGATGTTTTACGCAACATGTCCAAATTTCAGAATTTTCAAAGTTCGTTTACTATTTATTTGGATGGGATTTCGGTCACTGTGTAAACTGCCCAGTTTTTACCCGATTCTTTGGATGTTTGTTTTGATGGGCGGAATGGAGTTGGTGTCGGGATTGAATTGTTGATGCCTCGTGACCAGAATTTAGGCTTGAATGTGTGTTATATGAGGTGATTTGAGGATGAAATGAGGATGTTTCGAGGCTGGAGTGAGATTGATTAGAGTGTCGGATATTGTGGGATGGAATTGGCGAGCTTAGGGCTCGATTTAAGGACAAATGGTGTCGGTTTGGTGTGTGGTAGTATGGCTGGACTGTGGTGTTTAATATGCTCGGAAATGTCGAAATTATGCCTATGAACGTGGCTGTGTTAGTGGGTCCATGAGTGGCCTTGTATGTTTATTGAACTGTGATTTGATGGATTGAAATGTGTTTGATTATGTGCACGCGTGGGCCAGATTAAATTAATTGTTGAAATTGGCCATGTCGAATGTTGAGTGAGCATGTTTTACGTGTTAATTGATGCGTGCACGGGCCACATGTGATGGGCCAGTTGGGTGTGGTATATGCGTGTTGAGCATGCGCATGAGTAAGAAAGAAATGTGGTGTGGCATGTGATTGTGGAATTTATGTGAAGGTATGGAATTGCGAGTATTGGGATCGGGCCGAGTATCATAAGCTCGGGCAGCGATCACGTAGGTATGTTACATTTGGCACAGGCTGAGGCTTGAAAAAGCAAGGTTGAAAATCGATCCGAGGCACGATCAGCTCGGGTGAGACCGGGATCGGACCGAGGCATTATAAGCTCGGGTTTCGATCATGTAGGCCTGTCGCATTTGGCGCGGGCTGAGGAAAGTGTAAATGTGGGATCGGACCGAGGCGTGTGATGCTCGGGGCGCGATCGAGTGTGAATGTGGGATCGGACCAAGGCGTGTGATGCTCGGGGCGCGATCAAGAGGCCTGAGGCGTGTACGGGTACGCGGGCCGAAAGTGTGGTGATGAATGGTCGCAGTGTGCCTGAGGCGTGTACTTCAATGCGGGTCACTGGCGAGTTATGTGGAAAAGAGGAAATGAGAACGGAATGAGTATGTGGGATGAGAATGGTACATGCGCGTGTTTGCATATGACGTGATGATGACTGAATGCGGGTGTGCCCATGATTTTGCCTGATAATATTATTTGATGTGCCTGCGATGTGATGACTTGATGTGCACCAATGTGCATGTTTGTGTGTTTGTCTGGAGGTACGTGATAGCCTAGGTAGGGTTTAGGTTGTAACTTATTGAGAAGTGTCTCATGGTTGTATAAACCAAACCATTTCAGATAACCCGCCTGAACAAGGAATCAATCACCACCGCCACCGTCAGAATGTTTTGGTACAGTCATGCACATCGAAGGTAATTTCGTGGAGTACACCCTGAATGGATGCCGTACCAAGGACGCAAGGACTGGTGAGGAGGTGATGAGCTAGTGTTCGTATAGTACCGCTTTTGGTAGATAAGGAATTTGCCTCTTTTGATGTATGGTTTTTAAGGTAATCGCAGTGGATGTGCATGTAAAATTTATGGACCCAGAAACATCGGGAAGGTGTAAGTATGTTCATATGTGGATAATGTAAGGTTTGTAAGTGTTGGCGGTTGGTCGTGCAAGTTTAATTCTGGTGTTCTCCAATTTATTGTCCGGGTTTAATTATTTGTTTCCGCTACGATTGACTCTGATGCGAGACCGTTGAGTCGACGACGTATTCCTGGGATGTCGCACCGTTCGACTCATGGAAGGGAGGTGTGGAAAGCATTGGATTTGAGTCGGGACGTGACAGAAAAGATATGAGAGATATTTGTGATCGGCCAACACTAGATGTGGATGCAAGCAGTAGGGGAACAAAACCAAAAGCAGTTTATACATTGGATAAGGAGCAGATACGAGTTGTTTGTCAATGGTTGAAATCTGTGCAGTTTCCTGATGGATATGCTTCAAATCTCGGGAGATGCGTTGATTTGAATGAATGCAAGTTGATAGGTTTGAAGAGTCATGATTGTCACATATTTATGGAAAGACTAATTCCAATAGCTTTCAAGGAAGTTCTACCGAACTTTGTATGGGGCGCCATTACAGAGTTAAGTAATTTTCTGCATGATATTTGCTCGACAATGTTAAAAGCATTACACATGGAGAAACTAGAGAGAGATATTCCAATTATTCTTTGCAACTTAGAAAGGATATTTCCTCCATCGTTTTTTGATTCGATGGAGCATCTCTTAGTTCACTTGCCTTATGAGGCCAAAGTTGCAGGTCCCGTCCAATTTCGATGGATGTATCCATTTGAGAGGTAAATTTTTTTTAAAAATAAAGTTCAAATTACTTTATTATATATTATGTTCCGATAAGCTTCTTTCTATTGCAACTAGATTCTTATATCATTTGAAGAAAAAAGTGAAGAATAAGGCATGTGTTGAAGCTTTAATTTGTAATGCATATATTGTGGAAGAAGTGACAACATTTGCATCATACTATTTTGAGCCGCACGTGCAGTGCAAGAGGCGGAGAGCAAGCAGAAATGATAAGGGCCCCTTTGATCCCAATTGCAAATCATTCTCTATTTTCAATTATCTGGGTCGACCAAGCGGCGCATGTACGTTTCGTTACTTAACAGGTGAAGAATTGCATGCAGCCCAGACATATATTTTACTGAACTGCCCAAAAGTCGAGCCATACTTCGAGTAAGTGTAAATTTGCAAATATATGTATTGTGTGTCAAATATTTGCTAATATATAAATGGTATTTATTACTAGGATTTTCCAAACTTCAATATATGGACTACCACCAAATGAGTTTGACCGTTTGTGCGATGAACAATTTGTAGCATGGTTCAAAACATATGTAAGTTGCCTATGGACCAAAACCAAGTTATTAATATTTTATACATCATTTATTAAAATATATATTATTAACTTTGCGTGTGTAACCTTAGGTTCACAGTAATCAAGATGCACTTGGAGAGCAAGGATTGCTATATCATCTGTCATGGGGTCCACAGTTAAGAGTACGAAGTTGGCCAGCATATTTCATAAATGGATATAATTTTCACACTCAAGAATATGGAATGGGAAAAGCTACAATGAATAGTGGTGTGTCTGTTCGGTCATCCAACGGTGGCAGTTCAAAAGATGATTTTTATGGTTTGTTGGATGAAATCATAGAGATAGAGTACCCTGGACCATTAATAATGCGGGTTGTGTTATTTAAGTGCAAGTGGTTCGACCCCGTCAAAGGAATGAAGGTGCATACGAAGTTTAATTTGGTTGAAATAAATCACAAGAAAAAATATATGAAATATGAACTTTGTCTTGGCACAACAAGCAATTCAAGTATGTTATGCATCATATCCTAGTTTGAAAGGTGACAAAGCTAATTGGTGGGCTGCATGTAAAATCAAAGCACGGAGGAAAATCGAGGAACACTGGAAGGATAGAGCCTACCAACAAGAGGAAGTGTGTAATACGGTTGAAATTGAGGAATATAACATACCAACTTTACGAGATCCGTGTGGAGTAATGAAAGATGTGGATCCAACTGAAATTTGCGAATT